AGCCTTCAGACTTCTTTAGACTTATCCTGACTCTGTGTTTCATGAGTTTATCTTAGGGAAGAGTCTCTTTCAGTCCCCATAATTAGTATAGTACACTGGTGGCATTCTTTTCTCTTTCATCCAATTAAAATGCTGTTTTATGGGAGTTTTCTGCTAAAGCTCTCAAACAGGAACGTTCTGGTCAAACGATAAATCGCTGTCGTCTCTGGACCCCTGATTCCTCTTTGCTTTTACTCTTCTTCCGCTGATTCGTTTCACAGAACCCGAACTGTGACCTCAGCTTTATGGTACAATCTGTTCAGCCATCCGAGCACCGAAAGCCGATGTGAGAGGCTTCTGAAGCCCCCACGTTCTGCTTTTGATAACACAGAGGTCAAAGCGAGTTGCGGCCTAAATTTTAACCGGCTGGAGTCTGACGCTGGCATCCGTCTCCCGAGCAACGGACACACAAACAGACCTGCCTCCACCCCGACTCCCTCGACTTTATAAACTTCCTTAAAACAATACAAGCGGCCGAAATCTCGGCGTCTGATCTGATCCCACGTGGTGGTGACAGTGGACAAAGCGTGTGGGGTTTTGGACAGAGGGCAGCCTGTTCTCAGCCAGCATTTTGTTCTTTGTTGTTGTTGTGCGATAAGAGCAAAACATAGCAACAGCTGGGCTGCGCACAGCTGCACGGAGAGGGCTGTGCTGCTGCGACAGGATTATGTGATAGAAACATGCTGTGCTCATGCGTGGCCAAATATTAAATAACACTACGGCCCTGTGTTTGAGAGGCCGGGCCGAGCGCTGTTGACGGGCTGCCATGGTGACAGTTACCATGCTCTGGGTAGTGTTTACAGAGTGTTTAGCGTATCACAAAGCAGACACACAGGGCCAGCGGGCTGAATGAATCAAAAGTTTGTGTGTGCGCTGTCATCTGGAAGACGGACAACATTTTCAAATGACATCTGTCAGAGTTGATGTAGTTCATGCGCCTGTAAGGCTGCTCCTTTGTCCCTCTGAAGGACAAAATGTTGCAGGCCATCGTCTCTAAGTGTGATCAGGAACGCATAATGTTAGCCTTTATCCGGCACAAATGCTGCATTCCAATCTACTCCAGATGTTGTTTTGCAGTAAAACCGAAGACAGGACGGTGGCTCGGAGTTGTGCAGCTCTGCATCGGTGTGTGTTTTCATCCCTTTGCAAACGTTAGAGAGAGGAGGGAGCCTCTATCCCGGCGTCATTTCAACTGTCTGCACGCCTCAGAGCACAAATCATATCTCACAACCTTTAAAACAGCTAGACTGTAAACCGGTTATGAGAAGCTGTAAAAGAGAAGTTGGCTTAGACAAGAGGAAGACAACTGGCAAAGGACCTTTTGTCTTTGCTGCCAAGGGGTAGGTTGTGTGCACCAGAGAGGACCTTTATGAAACCCACACTGCGCCTCGGCACTAATAGATGCTTTTATACGAGCCGTAGAGTGTGTGAGTGGGTTAGCGTTAGGGCCACTCTGGGCATATTTGTTTCGTCTTGAAATGCAAAGACAGATGTCAGTTGTGCATCACATGCAATGGGAGAGAAATCGGAGCATAACATGACTGAACAAGCACGTCGGAAAGGAAAGAATATCTTAACACGATGAGGCAAAAACATGGGCAGCTGCAATCAAATCAAAATGTGTTCTGACACACAGTCTTGCCACTAGCAACCAACTAAGCCATAAAACTGAGTGCCTGGACGGCCTAGAAGAATACTTAGATTTGCAATATTTATTGAAATGATTACAAAATCAAGTCCAATGGCGAGCCATCCAACAAGTCGGACTCAACTCCAGATGGACTCGAATTATAAGTGAGAGGATTCGCTTTGCAGCCACCAGGATGCTCTGTAAAGAAAACTACCAAAAACATTTAGAATACTCAAAACGTGCGTTAATTCCACTGAAGCTCAAACAAACTCGTCAAAAGATAAGCCACAGGGTTACACATACAGTTCTTTTCAAGGTGTTTCAACCCATCATTACTCAACGGTTCTCTAGTCTTTTGTGCAGGACCGGATGCTCGTGTTGTGATGACGTTCGCTTTCCTATTTGCTTGACTTGTTGATTTTGAGCCGCAGAGACCCGGCCGCTGATGAACCCCTTAAGGTTTTGACATTTCGGATCTGGCCTCCTGCTGGCCCCACAGAGGTCAAACCTCATCAGCTGTCACTGCTGGTAGCATCAAGATGACAAGGGAGTGGAAAGCTTTGCTCATTACAGGGGCCGAGGACCAGAGCAAAGCACAGACGCTGCTACAGATAATAAAGCAATTTGGGGTTGAATGAGTCATGGTAGATGCCTTTGTGACAACAAACCCCGCTTTTCACAGTCATCCTGTTCATCCTGAACCTGGTACCTTTCGGGAGATTTTTGCCATTTGAACGGAGTTTGTCGAATGTGTCTTATCATTCAGGGAAATTAAACTGCCCCCCAAAAATGTCAAATCCTAACTTTTGTCGCCGCATCCATCGGCAGTTTGTAAAACGCTGCTTTTGTTTTTGTCTGCTGCTCCTTGGTGACTCTTAGTTTAGGTAAACTTACTCAGTGTCCCGCAGATGAGTGGAGAATGATTCATATTTCTAAACATAATCACATAATGCGCTGATGTAATTTGGGTTAACAAAAGCCAGATGTTAAATGTTGTAAATTGGGTTCAACTCTAGAATTTCCCTCCAATTAAAGTTTGGCAAAGATGAGGATAAGTATCATCCCGGCTACAGTTTCATGCATTTGTGGCTTCATTTTGGTCACAATTGTAATAATTTCTTCTCCCTTTCTGTTTATTTTGTAGGAATAAACTGAAACCGTGTCAATTAATCTTTCATCTGAATTTCTGTAATTAATTGTCTATTTTGAATGCCAGCAAACTAAACTAACAGAACACACTGGCTCAAAGGACACAATCATTTTCCAAAGAGGGATCTGGTTGATAATCTGAAGAGGAATTGTGGATTAGATTAAACTTTTTTGCTTTAATGCTAAAGTGTATCAGTGTATTCATCTTATTTTCTTTCAGGATTACAAAGACCCCCAAAGGAAGCAATGCAAAGAGAAAGCAACACAGAAATTAATTAATATGTAATTCTTTAAATGACTGAGATGAAGGTTAAAAAAAAAATTGAAAATAAAAAAAATGAAGGAATTCAGTGAAATGTTAATCTCAAAATTTACGAAAAAACATCACATTCATAAACGGAATAAAACAATCAAATTAAAGATTAGACATTAAAACACTCAAGTGCATCAAACCTGTGAAAACTGACAGCTAAAGCAAAAAATTGGGTCTGTTTAAGGAGGTACAAATAAACATCAGGA